GAGATTGGATGGCTAGTTGTCACCTATGTCACATTGAGGCTTCCCTTCACATAGGGGTTGGACTAGAACACCCCTGAGGTCCCTTCCAGCTCTCAGATTATGTGATTCTGTAATAAGGAGCTTTCTGATAATCAGAGCTATCCAAATGGGCTGCTTTGGAAGTAATAATGATAATAATAAAGTCTGTAAGGCACTTCACATATATTATCTCATTCAGTCCTTAGCACAATCCCATACGCTAAGCAACATAAGTAATAATATTTCCATTTTATAGATGAGGAAACGGAGTTTCAGAGGGTTTCAAAGGCCCATGGGCACAAGCTAGAAAGGTGGGATACTAACCAACTCAAAGTCCAGTGCTATTTGATCTACACAACTGTATCTCTCTAATGGATTTCCCCTTCACCAGAGGTTTACAAGCAGAAGGCAGGTGACCACTCGTGGGTGGGGTTCCATAAAGAGAACTCTTGCTCAGATACTGTTTAGATGAAATGTTCTCTAAGGTTCCTTCCAATTCTGAGATTCTGCCATTCTTGGAAGGATAGGAAACTAGTGAGGCCCCTTCCAGATAAAGCAGTAAGATGGGGTTGGCCTGAAGTGCCCTAGTCTTCCCCTCTTTCCTTTATTCCTTCCTCCTCTCCTCAGCCTCACTGGTTCCCTTGAGACTTTGAACTTGGAGAAGAAGCCAGACTTGTCTCCATGGATACCAGCTGAGCAAAGTTTCTCTGCCTCCAAGACTGAGAGAGGAGGGGCTAAGTCCAAGAGTGGGGGCAAAAGGAGAGGTGCTAGCCCCTCTTCCTAAATCCAGGCCCCATCTTCTGAAGGGGGACTGATCCCTCTCTGCTCCCCAGATTCAGGGGTCACCAAGAAGTGGCTTACTTGCCAGGAACAGAGACCCAGAGTAGGAGCAAAGAACCTGGGTGTCTAAGTCCAGCACTTCAACCCAATGTGCTCTGCAACCTTGGGCAAATCTCTTCCCTTCTCTAGCCCTCAGTTTCCTCATCTGTAAAATTAAATGATCCCTAAGATCTCTTCCAACTCTGACATTCTAGGACTCTATGACTGAGGCAGAATACTCCACCTCTATCTCCATCTTCTTTGGTGAGTCCTCAACTCCTAGACTCTGGGGAGGGGGGGGTAGTGTTCTTCAGCTGGGTGACCAGCTGTGTGCTGGGCTCCAGGCTGGGCTGGGCCATCCTGAAAGGGAGATAGGGATATATAAGATCGATGGAGTATGTAGTCTAGAAGGAAGGCTAGGTTTGACTCAGGTACACAAACTACAATAATGAACAGGATGCCCTAGAAAAGGAACAGACAACAGGCTGGGGCAGAATAAGAGAGAGAGACAGAGAGACAGAGACAGAGAGAGACAGAAACAGAGAGACAGAGACAGAGACAGAGACAGATAGAGACAGAGAGACAGAGACAGAGATAAAGACAGAGAGAGACAGAGACAGAGAGAGACAAAGAGAGATAGAGGCAGAGACAGAGACAGAGACACAGAGAGAGAGACAGAGAGAGAAGACTGAGAGAGAGAGAGAGAGAGAGAGAGAGAGAGAGATGAAGATAGAGGCAGAGACAGAGATCTCTGGGGAGGGTGGGAAAAGGATAAATCAAGGCTTCCTAGAAGAAGTAGCACCTAAGCTTTTCCTAGAAGGCTTATCTGGATTTGAACAGATTGAGATGGAAATGGGTATGGGGAAGGTATGTTAGAACCTCTTCTAGCCCCTAGTAACTGCATGATGGCCCATCGCATAGGAGGAAGAGACCTCAATATAGAAAATGCTGAACAAATAACCCTAAGTGGATGTCTTCCTGTTTACTGCACCTTTTGTTTCCAGGTACTGAACCAGCAGTGGAGAGAGTGCTGGGCCTGGAGTCAGGAAGACCTGAGTTCAAATTTGACCTCAGACACTTAATAGCTGTGTGACCTTGGGCAGATCACTTACCTTCTGTTTGACTTAGTTTCCTCAGTGGTAAAATGGGAATAATAATAGCGCTTATCTCTCAGAGTTGTTGTGAGGATCAGATGAGATAATAGCTGTAAAAAGTCTTTAGCATAGCACCTGGCACTCAGAAAGCACCCCATACAGGGAGAGATGCAAGCTACTAGAGCAGGGAAAAGTGTAAGTAACACTGGATTATGGGAAGATGTCTCTGGTGGTTTGTGCACAAAGAATTGGAAGAAAAAAATTGGGTGTTTTGAAGTACTCCAACAGTCACCAAATAGGATGTGGAACCCTGGGAGAAGAGAAGAGGAGCCAGGGAAAGGAGATAGTGAGAGAGGGAAGGAATGAAAAGAAGATAGGAAGAAGAGGAAGAAAGAAAAGAAGGGGAGATGAGAGGGTGAAAATAAAACAGAAGTGATAGGCTGATAATGGGAGAGGGGAGAGAAGTGGAAGAGAGAAAAAAAGAAGAGGAGATGGGGAAGAGTGAAAGGAGAGTAGAGAACAGAGTTGAGAGGAGAGGAGAAAAGGAAGAAGAGTGGGATAGAGGAGGGAGAAAGGAAAAGGGGGAGAGAAGAGACAAGAAAGGGGAAGGAGGAAAGGGGAGATAGGAGAGGAAAGGGGGAAAGAGGGAAAAGGGAAAAGAGATATGGGAAAGGGGAGAGAGATGATGGGAATGGGAAGAAGAAGGGAGAAAAAGAGGGAGGAGAGAAGGAAAAGGAGAGGGAAAGAAGAGAGGAGGGAAGAGGAACAGAGTGGAATGGAAGAGAGTGGGAAGAAGGGAAAAGGAGAGAGGTGAGGATGAGGGTGAGGGAGAAAGAGGGAATAGGAGGTGGGGAGAGGGGAAAGGGTCAGAGGGAGAGGACAGAAAGTAAAAGAGGAGAGAAGAGAACAGAAGTGAAGAGGAAAGGGGAAATGAGGAATGAAGAGAAAAAAGGGGAGAAGGGGCAGGGAAAGGAGATGAAAAGGAATAGAGAGAGGAAGAAGAGGATTGGAGGCAAGAGTGGGAGAAGAGATATTGGAGGAGGGGCGAAGGGAGCAGAGTAAAAGTGAGGAGACTCGCGCTCTCCTGTGAGAGGAGAGAGAGACGAAGAGGAGGGAGACAGGAAAAACAGGGCAAAACTTGAGGGGAAAGGGGCTAGAACTTCCTTCCTCAAACCAGGGTCCTGGAAGCATAGATTTAGAGCTGGTTGGAACCATCTAGTTAATTACCTTCAGATTTTCCAGTATGTATCTTGTTTGCATGTTGTCTCTCCCATTAGCTGTTTTTGCCTTTCTTTGTATCCCCAGAGCTTAGCAGAATACCATGCACATTATAGAGTGTTTAATAAACGTTTGTTGACTTGACATGAGGAAGTGGCTGTCCTAAGGTCCAGTTATACATTGCAATAATAGTAAATGGCTGAGCCAAGAATTGTACCCAACTTCTCTGACTCTACATCCATCCTACTGTCCCAATCCATCCCAATATCACAATATGGTGGGTTGTTGGGGTTTGGGGAGGGAAGGGATGCTCATAGCCAAATTCTGGCTCTTGGAAGGGAGCTCCCCCAAATTCCCTACAACCATGAACTGTAGTAACTTAGAATATCATAGTTGAAAGGGTTTTTAAAAATTTTTTTAAATTTTTAAAAAAAAATTTGAAAGGATTTTTGAAGATTACCTTGTCCACTCTGTCTCGCCACCCCCCAACATTTTCCAGATAAGGAAATTAAGACCAGAGGAGAAGGAAGGGGAAGAGGCTTGGCCAGAGTCTACGATCCCAGTGAGTAAGTTTGCTTCAAAGGGTTTGGGAACCAAATCTTTCCTCATTTCCCCCTACCTTTTACCCAAGTCCTATTTTTCTCCTCCTCCTCATCCTTCTCCTCTTCCTCACCATGTCATTGAGCTGGGCGACATCTTGTGGTGAGATTGTGGTACTGCCTTGCCCTCTGCAGGCTGGAAGGAGGGTGAAGCCGGAAGGAGCCGACTCCAATGGGGTCTTGAAAGCCAATTGCTAAATTTTCAGCGTGCGCATTTACACTTCTAAAATTGGCAAATGCTACAAATCTGGGCTCCATCGATTGTTTTGTTGATTGACTAGCCTTAAGAAGATGGTGGAGAAAATGCTAACGACTCAGGTCAAACTGAAAAGTGTTCTGCTTTTTGCCGAGAGTTAGCTGTCAAACATTTACCAGCATAATTGTGGTTGTGGGGGAAGATTAGTTCAGATATGGGCTGGACTAGCTGACCTCTGAGATTCTTTCCAACTCAAATTCTGTGACTTTGCAACGGTCCACCCTCCTTCCCTCCCAGGGATATTAGGAGGAAAAGCCTAGAGAAATGGGAGGAGGAAGGAGGAGGGTGATGACTGATGATGGCTTATTAGAAGGAAGTCAAGTACACAAAAAACCCTGTTTGAAGGAAAGCAGAGACTGGAAGCAGTGATTTTGACTAGGAATCAACTGCAATAGAGCAAGCAGAAGTCTGCCAAGACTTCTTACACACAGTGTAAAGAAGAGGCCATTATAGGCTTATTGTAGGTCTGCTGAGTTGGAGTTGCTGACCACCATCCTGACTGATAAAGAGTGTTTCTTGGAGGCCTGCTCAGAGTAGTGGAAAGAGCACTGAATTTGGGGAACTCAGTTTCCCTTTTTGAATGGGTCAGATTAAATGATCTCTAAAGTGCCTTCCAGCTAAATTCTATGAGCTTCATGGTGGTGGGGGTGGGGGGGAGGGAGGCAGGGAATTATGGAGTGAGATACTTGAGGCCTAAACAATTTTTAAACTATTTACCCTAAAATCCGTCTTGAGCAGTCCATGCCTACTCTAGCTCATTCTGGCTCCCAACCTTTTACTCCTGTCCATAGCAGACGAGGCAGCTACCACGGTTTCCATGGCAACCAGGATAGTGTTCCCTGTTACCACGGTGACCACATCCTTCCACTGCGGCCTGAGAACTGGTGGCCGGTGCCTAAAGCGGGGGTGGTCAGGGAAAGAAGGAAGAAAGAAGTGAAAGAAAAGGAAGGGACTTTAAGGAAGACAAGAAGCAAAGAAGCCCTTCAGTGAGAGATAATGAAAGGGATTGACCCAGATAACTTATCCAACCTTCCATGCCATGGGTCTTTAGTAGAGGATTTTCCCTTGGATGACGATCTTCCCTTGGAGGATGTGATAACTGCCACAGAAAGGTATGGATGGAAAAAGGTGAGAGGAAGATAAATGAACAATCCCAACCTGGGATAAAGGAGGAGCAAAGAAAGACCTAGACTTCACCTGTCATCCACATTGTGCTAAAGATCTGGGTAGAAATAAGGAGAATCGGAAGGGGAAGAAGAAAGAGAATAAAAAATTTAGCCTCTAAATCCAAATATTTGGATGACCCAAATTGCCCTATCTCTGGTCTTGAATTTAAAGATGTTTCTGCTCTCCTGTTTTCATCCAGATTTTGAGATGAAGCACTAGTATTGGAATATTAGGAGGCAGCTTGCTATATTGGGAAAAACTCATTAGATTTTAAGTCAGGAAGATGTAGGTTCAAATCCTGGCTCATCCACTTACTTACTGTATGACCTTGTACAAATCACTTCACATCGCTGGGCCTCAGTTTCTGTCTCTGTAAAATGGGGTAACTGGACGAGCTAACCTCTAAGACCTTTTCCAGCTCTGACTCTGATCCTATGACCTGTATTTGAACCCCTCCTTTGGCACTTACTCGTTTCAAACTAAAAAGAAGATGTTTAAGTGTACCCACAAAGATAAATGCCATAGAGTAGCTACAATGCAGAATGAAGGTTCACAGGAAACAAAATCCAAAATAGATAGTAATAACGTTCATGGCTTTAAATATCTGCAGACATGTATACAACAACGAGACAAGAGGCAAAATTAATTAGACATCCTAATGCAAGGAGGCAAATTGGACCTCACAGGTATCAGTGAGACTTGGTGGGATGAGACCCATGACTGCAATATGGCTCTGGGTAGATATAGCCTATTCAAAGAAACAAGACCAGTACAAGGCAAGGTGGGATTAGCATTGCATAGTGAAAATCCAGAAAATCCAGGGTCAATAGTGGTGAAACATAGTGGAAGAGAATTTGGATGGAGTTTGATGGAGGGAGAGACAGAAAGGTTTTTGGCACTGGATTATACTGTAGACCACCTGGGCAGAAAAAAGCGATAGATTTACAATCTATCTTGAGTAGTGATAAGGGACTTTTGTTGTCTGGACATCTGCTATTAGTTTCCCTCTGCCCAAAGCAGAGCAGCTACAAATGTCTTGATTTGACTTAATGCTCATTTTGTCAAGGGAAGCTTCTTTCCTGGATCTGATCTTCACCAGTAGGCAGGAGCTGGTTACTAGGGTGATAATGACAGAACCTTTGGAGTGATGTGAATTTGTCATAGAGAAAGAGCAGAGAGAAGAGCAGGCTTCAATGCAACCCAGATTTGGGGAAAGCCGTTTCCAAAGGGTTCAGGGACAGAATTATAGGCAGGATGGTAAGGACTTAAATTCTATGGAGGAAGTCAGTCAATCAGCTCAGGAGGGATAGAATTCTGTGAGACAGAAAAGCATGTTACAGCAGTGCATTGTGCCTGGCACATAGTAGGTGCCTAATAAATGCTTATGGATTGTGATTATTAGGACATCTGCTAGAATTTTTTTCCACCAAAAGTAGAGCAGCTGATAACTTCTTGACCTGCTCTAATGATAATGTAATCATGAAACTGCTCTCTCCAAAGTTACCAATTATCTCTTAACTGCCAGATCTAATGGTCTTTTCTCCGCCTTCATCCTTCCTGACCTCTCTGCAGCCTCTGACATTGTTGACTACTTTCTCCTGGATATTCTCTAACTCAGAGCTTTTGTGCCACAGCTCTCTCTCTCTCTGGGTTCTCCTCCCAGTCTTTCTCAAGGGCTCCAGTCCTAACCAATTTACTTATTGGATATTTCAAGCTGTATGTCCTGTAAGCATCTTAAACTCAAAGCACCCAAAACAGAACTCCGTATTTTCCTCCCCACTCTCTCCCCTATTCCAAACTTCCCTATTACTGTTAAGGGTACCCACCCACCCAGTTTCCCCAGGTTTAAAATCTCAGGGCTCTTCTTGATCCATCATTTTCACTCATCCTACATTCCCAGTCAGTTGCCAAATCTTGTTGTTTCTACCTTTGGGAGATTTCTTACATTACACCCCCATCTCTCTACTCACAGCCGTCACCTTCATTGGCAGACCTCCATCACCTCTTGTCTGGACAGCACCTGGCTGCTCCCAACCACTTAGATTTTCCCTCTAAAGCTACCTTCCTCTTACTCTGTCTCTCATATTTGCCCATTTGTTTACATGCTGTCTCTCTCATTGGAGAGACTAAACATTTATATATCATCTACTATACTCCAAGCACTGTGCTAAACACTTTACAAATGTCACCTCATTTGATCTTTGCAACAGCTCTGAGATAGGTACTACCATTCTCTCTTTACAGTTGAGGAAATGGAGGCAAGTGGAGATGAAGTGACTTGTCCAGGCTCACATAGATAGTAAATGTCTAAGGCTGGATTTGAATTTGAATTCAGGTCTTCCTGACTCCAGGCCCAGCACTCTTATCCACTGTGACACCTAGCATGCTATTAATATGTGAGCTCCTTAAGAATAGGGATGATTTTATTTTAGCTTAGCACAGTGCGTGGTACATACCAAGCCTTATACCTTAACTATCTATCTATCTATCTATCTATCTATCTATCTATCTATCTATCTATATCTATATCTATCTATATATCTGTATCTATATCTATATATCTGTATCTATATCTATATCTATATCTATATCTATATCTATATATATGTATGTATCTACTCTCATCAGCTCCCATGGGTTTAGTTATCATTCTTGTGCAGATGACTCCCAGATCTATTTATTTAGCTCCATTCTCTCCCCTGAGCTCAAGTTCTATATTCTCAACTGTCTATTGGATAGTTTGAAGCAGATGTCCATTAAACATCAACATATCCAAAACAGAACTCATCTTTTCCCCCAAATCTACCCCTCTTCCATACTTCCCTCTTCCTTTTGAAGGCATCATTTTTCCAGTCTCTCAAGTTTATCACCTCAGACTTACTTATCTCCTCACTACACAGATCTGACCATGTCACTCACCTACTCAATTCACCTCCAGTAGCTCCCTACTACCTCTAAGGATAAAATACAATCTCTTCTGTTTGGCTTTTAAGGCCCTTTATAAACTGGCCCCAACTGATCTTTCCTGCCTCACTATGCATTACTCCCCCTCCACAGCTCAAAATTCAGCTAACTGGCCTTTTCTCTCTTTCTCACACAAAACTCCATCTCCCATCTCTCTGCCCTTGCTCTGGCCATCCCCCTTTCTTGAAATGTACTCTTTGTTCACTTCTGCCCCATTAAAGAAGAGAATCCTCTTCTTCTTTCAAGATGCAACCCAGTGTCAACTTTTACATGAAGCCTTTCTTGATCTCTGCAGCTTTCAATGCCCTCCTTCCCAAATTACCTTGAATTTATTTACACTTGTTCTCTTTATTTTTATTCTCTATGTGCTTATATATGCATGCATTGTCTACCTGAGTGGAATGTAAGCTTTTTGAGAAGAGGGGTTGTTCCATTCTTTGAATTGTTATCCCCAGTGTTTATTAAAATGCCTGGCACATATTGAACATTTAATAAATGCTTCTAGGTTGATTGATGGATTGATGCGGGTGAGTAAGAGTGAGAAGTCAAGGCTGAGATGACATTGTACATCTGAGTGGCTATCGTAGATGACCTTTTCAAGGAGTTTAGCCACTTCCACAGGTGTCCCATAGGAATTGAATTTGTAGGCAATAGGGAAGGAGCCAGTAGACAAGGAGAGATTGAAGGTAGAGTGGGGATGATAGAAGGGACAATCTTTTGGAAAGGACAGGATGGAATGGGAGAGGGGTTTGCCTTGGCAAGGAAGAGGGCCACCTCATTATGTGAGATAGGGGTAAAGGAGATGGTAGCAGAAGGCATCTGGGTGATATGAGATGAGGAAAAAGGGAGAACAGGGAGCTCTGCATAAATGACCTCCATTTTTTCAGTGAAATATGAGGCAAGGTTCTCAGCTGAGATAGCTGTAGGTCAAGGGAGCCATGAGAAGTTTGAGGAAGGATGAAAAGGTTTGGAAGAGTTGATGTAGAGAGTGGGATAGTGAGTTGATAAGGTGGGGTGTGGAATGAGTGCCCAGCAGCAGTGAGAACTCAGTTGAGGTTGTGTAACATAAATTTATGGTGGACCCAGTCAGTATGGTTTTGTTATTTCTGAAGCTTTGTTCAGCAGCATGTGTGTAGAGGCTTGGCTATGCAAGGAACTCAAGGGAAGAGGACATTGTCAAACTAAACTGGTTCACCAATGGGTCAAGATGGGGAAAAGAAGAAAGTGCAGCTAGTATAGGTGTGGTAGTCTGAGAAAGACCTAGGTCTGGGGGATTGGAGGTCACCCTGAGGGGTTGCAAGGCAGAGGGAGAGATGGAATTACAATAGAAGGTGATCAGATATAGGAAATTTAGAGTTCACCAGAGCAGCGAGGTGGCATAGTGGATAGAGCATTGAGCTTGGAGTCAAGAAGACTCATCTCCCTAAGTTCAAATCTGGCCTCAGACACTTACCAGCTGTGTGACTCTGGGTAAGTCACTTAACCCTGTTTGCCTCAGTTTCTTCATCCATAAAATGAGCTGGAAAAGGAAATGACAAGCCATTCCAGTATCTTTACCAAGAAAACCCCACATGGGTTCATGAAGAGTTGGACACAGCTGAACAACAAAGAGTATGACCATCTTTGCACGTGGCTGAGGTGGGGTAGAGGTTCAGGAAGTCCAGGGAAAAGAGCAAATTGAGGAACTGGGAGGTTAGAGTGTTTGAGGAAGTATCGAAGTCCCCAAGTATGAGAGCGGGAGTTAGGGAGGAGATTCCATGAGCCAGGCACTGGACTGATTGAGGAAGAAAGAAGAGTATCCAGGAGGTGGACAAGAGCTACCGAATTTTGATTGGATGGTTGTTGTTGTGTTTGTCCTTCTTTCTCAAAAGAAGACCAATGACCTCATGAGGGCAATGCCAGACTCATTCTGAAGATCCAAAAGTCCCTGGTTGGATCCCAGTTTCATAAAAAGGGAGATTGGATGTTAGCTATGGATTGAGGGAAGCTCAAAGTAAGAGAGGGTACCAAGTGATGGTGGTAAAGGGAGAACCCAGAAGGGTCTGGGGGAGCAAAGAGTATTCGAACTTTCCCATCTTGTCCAGTTAGTCCAGAGAAAGAGCAAAAGGATGTCCACCAGTGCTAGAAATGTAGGCCAGAGAGGTTGTGTCAGCAACAGGAAGCCAATGAGACCATCAGTGAGAGCCAGAAGATGGAAGGAATGGGAAAGAAAAAGATTTAACATGGAAGCAAATTTGTTACCCCGTGAAACAGGCATTACAGATATCACCGTGGGAGATGTGGGTAGTTTTAGAGTGAGACATTGTGAGGATTGGGTTCAGGTACATGGGAATAAAGAATAAAGTATTAGGAGACTGAGAATGGGGGTTTGAATTATGATATCCAGGGATTCAGAATCACCAAAATGGGTATGACCCACAGAGAGTTTGTTAATCTTTAAGGAATGAGTTCTGGGAGGTTTCCATTGTCAATGAGGTGCGGCTTCACAGTGGCATCCTCTCAGGGTCTTAGGCAATTCAGGAGCTGAAGGAATGATGCTATTCCCCTTCCTTCAAGGCAGGTGACCAGGCTGGAGATTTGATGGAATGACCTTTCTCTTTTTTCCTGTAAGGGAGGGGTCTGGTACTCTATGGGATAATATTTCTTCTCTTCCCCATAGTGGGGGAGGAGGTTGGTGGGCAATTAGTTCATGCAAGAATAAATATATTCTTTAAAAGATTTTTAAAAAATTCCATGTCCAGAAAGCAGTTGGCTATGTGGAACTACAAATGAGGAGAAAGACTAGGCCTGGATATATATTTGGTTGGACTCTTTTTTTTTCTTTTTTGGAGGCAATCAGAGTTAAATGACTTGCCCAGGGTCACACAGCTAGTGAATATCTGAGGCTGGATTTGAGTTCAGATCCTCCTGACTTCAGAACTGGTGCTCTGTCCACTGTGCCACCTAGCTGCCCCTAAGGCTGGATATATAGATATGACAATCATTTCCATAGGGATCATAATTGAGTCTATGAGAATTGATGAGATTGCCAAATAAGGGTGTATAGAGAGAAAAGAGGGCCCAGGACAGAACTTTGGGGAATACCCAACAGTCGGTGGCTATGCCAAAGATGAAGATCCAGCAAAGCTTGAGACCAATGAGGAATTTCAGAAAGGTAGGAGGACAACCATGAGGAATGTCATGAAAACCTAAAGAGGAGAATTTCCAGACGGAGAAGATGGTCAACGGAGTTAATAGTGGGGAACTCTGTCTATGGTTTAGACTACTTGGCCAATGTAGTCTCTTCCACGTCTCAGGTTCTGGGATCCTTTGCCAAAAGATGCCGGGAGTTCAAGAAAGGTGAGGATTGGCAATTAAGAGAGCTCTGGTAACTTTTGGAGAGAGTAGTGTCAGTTAAGTGAACCTTGCCAAGGGACAAGATCGAGACTCTCCAGCCGGGCATTTAAAAGTCCTTCAGGGTTTGCCTTTGTCCTACTTCTCCAGACTTCCTTCCTCTAGCTCTACCTTAAACACTCTTCCTTCCAGTCACATTCCCCAAACTTCTCACTCCTTCCACCTCCTGTCCTTTGTACACACTTTCCCCTACTCTCTGTGGGTCATACCCATCTTGGTGATTCTGAATCCCCAGATGTCATGAGGCTCTCCTTCCTCATCTCAGCTTCTTGGAAGCCTTAGCTTCTTCCAGGGCTCAGCACAGGTGCCGCCTTCCAAAGGAAGCCCTCCCAGATCCTCTAGGTGTCAATGGGCTGTCCTCATTCATTTCCCTGAGAACAGAGACTGTTGTTCAGCTTTGTCTGTGTATCTCTAGCAGTAATTTGCAGATTAGGACAAAGACTAGATTTATTGGTCTACTTTATGGGTATTGGGAAATCCCCCCAAAATGAAAACTTCCTCATCCAATGCAGGTCAGCTCTTGCTCTGTGAACTGGGGTTTTAGAATGTTGCCTAGAACCTGAGAGGTTAAGTTGCTGCCCAGGGGCTCACAGCCAGTATGCTTTAGAGATACTACTTGAACCCAGTCTTCCTGGCTTCAAACTTGACTCTTTACGCACTATGCCAGATGGCCTAGCAAATAATAGGCATCAAATGTTGGAATTGATGAATTGTCTAAAGTGACAGTAAGTAGGGGGTTGAGGGAAGAGTAGAGAGTAGAAGATTCCTACGTAGGATGCAAGCTTTGATACCCACCGTCATACCACGACACACAGCTAAGGTGTTTCTGAGATAAGTCTTTCAAGTCATAGGGTTTAGAATTGGAAAGGACCTTTGGAATCATCCATTCCAATTGCCTCATTTTACAGATGAGGAAACTGAGGTCCCAGAGAGGTGAAAGGATCTGTCCAAAGACATATAGTAAGAAGCAGAGGACCAGGATTCAAGCCCAGGTTCTCTGATTGAAAAATACAATTCATTCTATACTGTAGAAAGAGTAGAGGGAGCAGGAGTAGGGGGAAGAAAAGAGAAGAAGGAAGTGGGAAAGGGATAGGTAGAGAAAAAGAGAGAGGAGGAAGATGTAGACAAGAAAAGAGGAGAAAAAAGGTAGAGGAGGAGGAGAAAGAAGAAAAAGATGAGGAGAAGGAGTTGAAAGAAAAGGAAAGGGAAGAAAAGGAGAGGGTGATGGGGAGAAGAAAGGAGAAGGAAGTAGAAGTGAAAGGAAAGGAGGTGGAAGAGGAAAGGGAAGAAGAAGAAGGAGAAGAAGAGGAAGAAGAAGAGGAGAAGGTGGTGGTAGAGAGGGGGAGGGGAAGAAGAGGAACATAAGCTCTGTGACAATAGGGGCATTTGCATCCCTACCACCTAGTACAGTGCCTGGCACATGGTTCTTTAATATATGTTTAGTATATGATTGATTGAGGAGAAGGAGGTAGAGAAGGGCAGAGACTAGTGGGAGTCACATTCTCAAGGTTATAGTTGAAAGACAAAGGCCCTTGAATGATGTACAGACAAGCAGAGGAGGTAGCTAGGTGGGTAAGTGGATAAGAGCACTGAGCCTGAAGTCCTCAGGAAGACCTGAGTTCAAATCCAATATGTGTGACCTCAGGGAAGTCACTTCACCTGTTTGCCTTAATCCACTGGAGAAGGAAATGGCAAAGCACTCCAGTATCTTTGCCGAGAAAACCCCATAGACAATATGGTCCATAAGGTCATGAAGAGTCAGAAACGACTGCACAGCAACTCAGGCATAAGAGCTATCAATAAGAGAGAAACTTTCCCTGAGCATGCCTAGGGCAGGCGAGGACAGCTCAAGCGGCATCTGGCATTTTATAGCTTCATAGAATTCAGAGCAGCAAAGGCCCTTGGAACAACGTTAAAATACCAGGGACACCAAGACTACAAAGCAGGAACCTTGGCATACAGAAGGTCAGAAGCTGGAAAGGGACCTTGGTCCACAGAACCAGAAGAACCCAGAATTTCAGAGATGGATGAGGTCTCAGAACACAGATTCTGCAACTGAAGGTTTTACATGGTCTGGGTAACACACAGACCATGTGACTCGGAAGGGTCCTTAGAGACCATCTAAGGATCCATCCCTTCATTTTAAAATGGGGGGAGGGAGAATTGAGTCCCCAGAAGAGAAGTTCAAGGTCGTAGGTGGCAAAATGGCAGCACTGGGTTGTCAGACTCCAAATTCAGGGGGGGTCCTTCCATGACTCCCCACTCTGGGTTTGTGTGCCCAGTGTCACACCCTCTACAACCTTCTCCTGCCCTCAACCCTAACACCAAGTTCTTCCCAAGGGAGATCATCTCACGTCCTTGTACACGAGACGATGAAATGCCAGATGTTATCGTCACTGAACTTCGGTCATGGAAGAAGTGTCATAAACGCCATAGCTCTGGACACCACAGGAAATGCAGAATCGATGAGCTGGCCAAGCCCAAGGTCAACCATCAGATCATAATAGACAGGTGTGGACAGCGGTATCATCGGGGAACAGAGAGAAGGATGGAAAGATCACTTTCCTTAGTTTCTGCTATCTGTAAAATGAGAGAGGGGCATTGTATGGGATGATCTTGGGAACCCTTTCTAGCTTTGACATCCTATGTTCTATTTCTTAAGATTCTTTCTAGATCTGACATTCAATGACTCTAAATGAAAATAAGAGTGCAAGATCTTCACTAATCTCTGCCCCCAGGGGCTTTTTATCCCCTCCTAAACCTCTGGGTTCCTGGCCCAGCACTCAGAACCATATGCCCTCATGGCTTTCTCCCACTGTGACCCTTCATCACATCCCAAATCTCTGCACAACCCTTAGACCAGAATCAGGTGAAGGTGGGGCCATAAAGAGTAAATTGGCCCCTTGGAATAGAAAAAAGGAACAACAGGAAGGAGGAGTGTGAGATGGGATAAGGTTCTAGAAGTCAGAAAGGAGGGCAAGCAGCATACTATAGTAGAGAATGCCCCGGGGTTGGAGTAAGAGAACCCAGGCTCAGGTCTTCATCACCATGTGATCAGGTCCCTTTACCACTCCTGAACTCCCGTCTGTAAAATCGGAGGATAGAATAAGACTGTCTCCAAATGCTTTGGAACTCTTTGCTGCTGAGAAAGGGTCTTAAGTGAGGCTGAGAGGCTGATGAATCAGTAAAGGAGGGGAGGGTCCCTGGCTGGTGATAGCATAGAAAGAGCACTCAGAGTTCAGGTTAAAATAGAGGGCAAACTCAGGGCACAGATTAGCCCCCAGTTTCATCCACTTAAACAGGTGGATAGGTGAAAGAATGGTATAAAGGGATAAGTTGCTGGGACGGAAGAAGGGCCACTGGGGACAATTGAGACATCTGGGCCTCAGTTTCCTCATATATAAAATGGGAGGGAATGAGCTAGGTAATATCTGAGGTTGTTTTCAGCTATAGATCTTATAAACCCATAAATCCCTTGGTTTCTTCCAGGCCTTCGGTATATTGGACAGATAAGATACTACCAGATACTACCCTCAGTGTGACTTTTCCTCGTAAGTCAAGCCTACATTCTATGCCCAGCTTCCTCCCCTATTGTCCCTGGGGAAGTCTCTCTCCTTCCGTCTATACATTTGGTCTCTCTTTTCCTACCCCTGCCCACTGAGAAGCCATGAAGATCCAGGGAAAGCCTGGGGACCACCCAGCTGTTATGTAAGTTAAGTATATCCCAGGACACAGACTGGGGACAGTGGGTGTAATATCTTAATACTGCCACTCGTGGGCTGCATGCCCACTTCCCCTTTCAGCACCTCAGTTTCCCTACCCGTAAATTAGATGGTTAGCCTTGATGATCTATGTCTAAGATTCCTTCTGACTCTTACCTATGTTCTAATGTCTATCTATGTTCTGACATCTTGTGTTCCATGCTCTAAAGTTCCTCTCAGACCTGATAGTCTGTTTTAAGGGCCTACCCAGTTCCAACATTACATGTTCTAAGGGCTCTCTGAGCCCTGGCATTCTGTTCTAGGGTCCCTCCTTGCTCTGACATTCTGTATCCTAGGGTCTAAGTTCTGACATTCTGCACTCTGTGTTTGGAGGTCCCTCCCAGTTCTGTGGTTCCACATTTCCTGCCTATGTTTTAAATTAAATTTGACTTAAATATAGCTTTTTCAGAAAGGTGCCTATTGTGCAAGGCAAGGGGCCACTCAAGAACTGTCACTCCCTACTTGTCAGATGGATATAGGAGTAATTCCTGGGCTGTATTTTTTTTTAAATTCAATTGTAGTTGTGACACCAAGACTAGAAGAGCTCTCTAGACCCAAACGGTTCTATTCAACCTACTACAATGAAAGCAGGTAAGAGGGTTGGAAGGGGGTCAGTATCGATGACAGAAGATAGAAGTGGATCACTAGCCCCTGCACTCAGCCCCCCATCACTGCTTCTCCTGGTCTCGTTTGGAATCCCAGGCAAAGCTGGAAAAAATCTGAGGGGGTAATGAAAGGGTTGGGCTAGGCGGCTTCCGAGGGCCCTCCCAGCTCTGGCCTTCCCAGTGCTGTAGATTAGACTCATAGAATATTGGACCTGGACAGTGTCTTACAGGATATCTAGTACAACCCTCTTATTTTATCGATGAGGAGTCTCAGGGGTTTCACAGCTCTGACCTTCTCAGTGCTGTAGACTAGACTCATAGAATATTAGAACTGGAAAGTGCCTTACAGAGTATCTAGTACAACCCCCCCCCTTATTTTATAGATGGGGAATCCCAAGGTTTTCTCCAGCTCTGATACTGTGTTCTAAAGTCCCTCCCAGTTCTGACATTCTGGGTTCTAAGGGCCCTCCCAGCCTCTCTGACCTTCCATGTGGCATGATTCTACCTGGGATCTAAGTCTTGGGCAGGGAGGCCTGTGGTTGTCAGCAGGCTCAGTCTAGCAGGGCAGGACCTGGAATGGGAAGCACTCAAGACTCATCCTCTTCCTGCCTGTGATCAAATGAGGATGGCTGGGGCCGAGGCTTTCCTTAGGGGTCCAGTCAACATATCAGAGGGGGAGGGAGAAATGGGAGATCCCAATGCTTCTTCTTGGAGCCCTTCTGGTAAAACATTTTGGAAATGTCCCTAGCTATCCAGAGCCTATCACCTGCTGCTTACCCATTAGCCCAGGACACCAGAAAAGGTGTCTGATACTTCGTCATGTCCCCAAATAGTTATTTCCACCAGGATGTGGGAGGATGCACATACTGGTCTCAGTCCCGATGCCCCCTCCCAGCTCCATCCTGTAGCCCCTGACACACCTCCAAGACAAACTACTTGGTCCACGCACCAAGCTAAGAATGGAGAGCTGACCGTGATGGGGAGGAGGGAAGGGAGGCAGATCTCACACAGGCTTTGTCCCCCGGTGGAAAAGGACCATTGGGAGCAGGAGGGCTCTCTATTGTGATGTTCCCTCAGGCTGACCCTCCCTGTCTCAGGTCCACACCTATTTGGCCCATTTCACGGGCATCACTGGAGGCCAAGGCTTCGCCTCGTCTGAAGGTGCTTGCATATCCAAAGATTCGGAACAACATCTGGGTCATTGATCCTTCTGCGGTAAGTGTCTCCTCACTGCCTACTAGGTCTTTCTGGGTGATTGCCATCTTCTTCTGTTCCCAATTATCAGATCAAAATAGTGTTCTCCTTGTTGGTTGGAGGGAGGATGCTAGAAGGTATTAGAAGCTTCTAGGTTTGGTTTTTTTTTTCTGTTAGCTAGTACCCCCTGGGTTCTATTCCTTGAGTTATCCTGAATGATGGCAGAGCCTCATTCTTGAAGTCAACAAACAATAAACATTTATAATTGCCCTTTATGTGCTGGGCCCCCAATGGCTGGGGAGGGAAGGCACAAAATTTAGATAATATGTGGTCCCTTCCCTCATGGAGCTCCCAGTTTACTAGGGCAATAAGACACAAATACAAAGAATTGATTATAATACAGTTTGTTAATATATACAGTTATAATACAGTTTCATAAGTTTGTTAGAGAAATACAACATGCTACGTGAGTTCTGAGGGAGGAGGGTCATTACTGAATGAAGAGTTCTCTAGGGGAGTTACCCCCAAGAATGATAAAGGACAGAGGATCTCACTTCCAGCAAGTGTGGAGAGCAGAGATCTGTGTAGAGTATGAAGTATTTGTATTTCTGATACAGCCAAGGGGTTGGTCTCCATGCTCAAAAGGTAGGGCAATGTGTCTACCTGAAGAGAAGGTAAAGGAGGCAGGGAAATGCCTCTATACTTTCTAAATTATGAGAGAGAATAAAGTTTTCTTTTTTTAAAAAGTGTGTATATGTGCATATTTGTGTGTATATGTATAGATTACATATATACATATAAATATATAGAAACACATATATGGAAAGAGAGAAGGAGGGGGGAGAGAGGAAGAAGGGGAGAAAAAGACAGAGAGGAAAGGAGAGAGATGAGTGAGAGAGAGGGAAAGACAGGGGAGAAAGAGAAGGGGAGAGGAGAGGAAAGAAAGAGAAGAGGAGAGAGAGAAAGAAAAAGAGAGAAGGGAGAGAAGGGGTGGGGAGAGAGAGAGGGAGAAAGAGAGAGAGCCCCAAAATTCTTAAGGCAATTTTAACACTATATATGAACAGCTTTGCTGCTGTATATGAACAGCCAGCAAGATGGTGTTAGGTCATGAAAGTGAGAGGGAGAAAAGAAGGGACCGCTGTACAGAAACTGTACAAAAAACAGATTAACTCTTTCTGAAGAAGAAAGAGCTGGGCCCTCTGGGGAGGAAGCAGCTGCTTCACCTTCAAGCAGTGATGACGTGGGTTTGAAAGTGCTGTCCGGGAAAGAGCTCATCCAGCAAGACTCGGAGGAAGAAGAGAAGAGGAGAGGAGAGGTGCCTCTTCAGACCTGAAGAAGCTTCACATCTTGATTTTCCAAAGGGGCAAAAAAAAGCAAGTGAACAGAGTCTGCAAACAATATATCAGTTAACCAGGCTTCAGTTCTTGGTGAAATTTGAGAACCTATCTCTGAAGTGTGTTTTCATCGAAGATAAGTATGCCCACATGGTTTATCAAAATGTGGCTCCTGGGAGGCAACATCTGAACCCTGAACTACCCTAGAAGAAAGGAGACCAGCATGACAGTCGATCACGGAAAGGCAGGCATAGAATTACTGACAGGCTGGGCGCTCTTTCATTTAGTCTCCAAGGAGGTACCAGACCAGACATATCTAACTGTCCTCTCTAAATAATGCTGGTCTAGGGGCAGCTAGGTGGCACAGTGGATAGAGCACTGGCCCTGGTGTCAGGAGGACCTGAGTTCAAATCCGGCCTCTAACACTTGACCCTTACTAGTTGTGTGACCCTGGGCAAGTCACTTAACCCCATTGCCTAGCCTAAAAAGATAGATAGCACCAGATAGATAGATAGATAGATAGATAGATAGATAGATAGATAGATAGATAGATAGATAGATAGATAGATAGATAGATAGTGCTGGTCTAGTGGAACAATAGGTTCAAACCAAAAAACTGTTTCCCCTAACAGTTGCCCTTACAGGGGGAGGCTTACAACAAGTTTAGGCTTGCAGCTTAATCCTTCCCACCAAAAGGCCTTTTAGATAAAAGACTGTCCCAAATAGTGATTAGCCAGTAAAACCATTTCTCCAAGCAAATAGCAAATAGATACTGAAGTTGTACAGATGAAAACGCATCAGAAAATATCCAAGAATGAATGAGCTGTTTAGATGGAGTGAGATGAAGTCTCTTTTCATCCAAGAGAGGTCCAGCACTCACTCACCCACGGGGAAATTGATACAATCTTTAGGAAAGAAAGCTGGAAATCAGAGGCTCATTGAGGAAGCAGCTTCACCTCCATGCCTGAAACTTTCAAAGTCTGTCTTTCACTATGTATCTGGAGTCAGGGCCAAAGAGAGTCTGGGATCATGTGGGTACTTTCTCAAAGGATGTCCTCTACAAAGCTCTCACAAGAGGGGCAGCTAGGTGGTGCAGTGAATAGAGCTCTGGCCTTGGAGTGAGGAGGACCTGAATTCAAATCCAGCCTCAGACACTTACTAGCTGTGTGATGCTGGGCAAGTCACTTAACCCCGATCGCCTCAGCAAGAAGTTAAATAAATAAATAAATAAATGAATAGATAAATAAATAACTAAATAAATAAATAAAAATAAAATAAAGCTCTCACAAGGACTCAGCCTTGCAGATTCTCTACCAATTCACAATCTCCTTCTGTATATATAGCAGCATAATATATATATATATATACACACATACATATATATGTGTGTATGTATCATTATTATATGTGATTATGTATATGTGATTAGTGAACAATTGAAAAGGGACAGCTAGGTGGCACCATAGTGCATAGAGCACTGGGCCTGGAGTCAGGAAGATTCATCTTCCTAAGTTCAAATCTGGACTCAGACACCTACTAACTGTGTGACCCTGGGCAAGACCCTTAACCGGGGTGGCCTCAGTTTCCTCATCTGTCAAATGAGCTGGAGAAGGAAATGGCAAACCATTCCAGTATCTCTGCTAAGAAAACCCCAAATGGGATCATGAAGAGTTGGATATGACTGAACAACAACAAAAGAAATGAAACCGTCATCCCAAAAATCCAAGAAGATTCCATCAAGATTAGTTTAGACTTGTAGCTCCTGGGCATGCTATAGATGTATATTTTAGGCAAGTATTTGACAAAGTCTCATATTATATACATAGGGGAAGATGGAGAGATGTGGAAAGTACACTGAGGAGCCTGCACAACTACTCAATGTCCAGACCCATTGTTGTTATTAATGGTTCAAAGGCACCTCAGAAAGAAGTGTACCATGCCTCAGGAGCTGCATCTTGGTCTTCTGTTAACATTTTCATCACTGATTGAATGAAAGCATTGACAACACGCTTATCAAATATGCAGATGACATCAAGCTAATACCCAAGATCATAAACCAAGAGAGCTAAAGGAGCGAGGTTGTGCTATAATGCACAGAGTGCTGGGTAGGGATTCAGGAGGGCTTGAGTTCAAGTTTGGCCTTAGACACTTACTAGCTATGTGACTCTGGGCAAATCACTTAACCTCAGTTTGCCTCAATCTACTCAGCTGTAAAATGGGGATCCTACTACCACCTACTTCCCAGTTGTTGTGAGGAACAAATGAGGTAATAGTTGTAAAATGCTTAGCACGGTGCCTGGCACATAGTAAGCACTACATAAATGTTAGTTATCAATATTATTATTAGAGTTGAAAGGAACTTTAGAGATCATCTAATCCAACCTCCCTCAAGCAACAGGATTCAGAATATAAATAACTCTGGACAAGCAAGAATATATGGGGTTGAATCCAATAAAATGAAATTTAATAGACAAGTATAAAGTCATACACTTGAATTAAAAAACAATTAACTTCATTTGATCAAGCAGGGAAGGGAAAAGCATGGGTAGATAGGAGTTATTGAGAGAAAGAACTGGGGTGGTATTTTTGGGGGGACAGTATTCCCCAGTTTTAGCACAGTGTCTGGAACATAGTAGGCATGGATGGTTCTTGAGCTGTATATTGGGATGAGCAGAGGGTAGGGAGAGGGAGCCATGGTAACCTGTGGGCCCCTTCCCCACACCACATATCTGCTTTCCTCCTTCTCCCCTACATTGCCTAGATAAGAGTGTCAAAGGCAGCACAATTAGCACAAGCCAGACCTCAGACCCTGGAGCTGGCAGCCCCCAAAAACAAGACCATGTCATCTACTGGATTGTACATCGCACAAAAGAGTAAGCAGCGTCCTCCAGACTTTGACCGGATCTACAGTTTGGCTAGTAGGTAGCCTGCGTTGGGAATGTTTCCAGTTGCTCGAAGCCCTGTTTTACTTCCTCCTCTAATTCTAGGGTAGAGAAATAGCTAAGACTTGGGAAAAGCTTGACACCCTTGCCATGCACCAGCCTTCCTAGTGGGAACTACTAACAGGGTACCAGGTACCCCCCAGGAAGGTCTCCTTGCCTTCCTCATGCCAACCCTCCCCATTGACCTGCCTTAGTGCCCCGAACTCCACCATCAGGAATTAGTTCTTTCCTCCATAGTAGTATTTTGTTGTTGTTGTTGTCTAGTCATTTTCAGTCATGCCTGATGCTTTGTGACCCCATTTATCGTTTTCTTGGCAAAGATACTGGAGTGGTTTGCTGTTTCTTTTTTCCAGCTCATTTTACAGATGAGGAAACTGAGGCAAACAGGGTTAAGTGATTTGCCTAGGGTCACACAGATGGTAAGTGTCTAAGGGCACATTTGAACTCAGGTCTTCCTGACTCCAGACCCACTGCACCACCTAGCTGCCCCTAATAATATATGACATATTATTACAAAATATTTCATAAACATGTAGAAATGGAAGTTATTATTATCATTGCTATTTTTCTTTATAAGTAGAACCAGAAAGTCCTATTCTAAAGCTTTATCATGTCATAGAGGCAACCTGGATTCTCAAAGGGTATACCAGCCAAGCTTAAGCTATGACAGGTTCCTACCATCATGGGAAGAACCTGTTTTTCTTCCTGTCTTCCTACATGACTTTGTTTTACAATTAATAAACATTTATTTTCTCTCCCTGTCACCTTCCACAATTTAAAAAGGGAAAAAAAAGGAACAGATGTACACAATCAAACAAAACAAATTCCCACATCGTCCATGTCCAAAAGCATATTCTCATTCCGCACCTTGAGTTCATCATTTCTCTCTCAAGAGGTGGGCAGGACATTTCATCATAAGTCCTCTAGAACTGTGATTGATAATTGCAGCAGAGTTCTCAGTCTTTCAAAGTTGTTTGTCTTTACAATGTTGTGATTCCTGTGTAAATTGTTCTCCTTGTTCTACTCACTTCATTCCGCATTAATTCATACAAATCTTCCCAGGTTTCTCTGAACCTATCCCATTCCTCATCTCTTATTGCATAATATTGTTCCATTATATTTATACATAATAATTTAATCAGCCAATTCCCCAGTTGATTCGCATCCTCTTAACAGCCAAAAAAGTTTTGATTATGGTTCCCACAATAGACCGTGTCTGCTTTCCAAAGACTTTTGCACAAAACAAGACCTGATGAATTCTTTGACTATAGAAACAAAGAAAAATACAAAACTGCTTCCAATCTGGTGCATCCCCCTTTCACTTCTGCAGGAGTGGGAAAAGGAGGCATCAGATACTAAGAATCACACAAATTTTGGACTGCCTATAAACATTAACAGCTGTCAGGACTTTAAATAAGAGCCCTTTTCCAGTGATAGAGTGACTATACCACGGAAGGACTGAATCATGTCAGTGTTGACATTCTTGCTATAAATGAAAACAGAAGACAGAAGACAGTTGCCACCAAATGGAAGGATGGTTTGCAAATTCTCTTTGAAGAGATGAAGAATGAGGATACTGAAAGAAGTTAGAACATGGCCTCAGCCAGCAGACATTTGATCGACTTACCAAGTCGAGAACTATGGACATCAAAGAGATACTGATTTAAAATATAAGCTCAGAAGCAGTATAAAAATTTTTGGAAACATGGCAAGAGGCCAATCCAGATCATTTTGAGAGTATTTAAGGATAAAATTGGAAGGAGAACAACAGACAAAAAAATGGAAAAGATTGGTAAAAAAAATTTTTAGAACAAATTCTTTTCTCCTTAAAGGGCAGTGGTGCCACCATACTGGGGACTCTTACTTCATAGAAGTTCAATAGAGATTGGAACAAAGAAGGAGAGAACTGGGGGAGGGGGATCCTATCAAGTGTTTCTGAGGTATAGAACTAGGAACCAGGGATCTTTGAGCTAAGGCTTGAAGGAAGCCAGGGAAATCAGGAGGGACAACATTCCAGGTAGGAGAGACAGCCAATGAAAATGCCTGGAGTCTGGAGATGAAGTGGCCTGTGAGGGGCACGATAAGAAGACCGGTGCAAAGGGGAAGGTGGGAGGGGATACTGGGGAGGGGAGCAGTTTGAATAAGGTATGAGATTATAAAGGTAGGAGGGGCCAGGCTGTGAAGAGCATTAAGAGTCAAACAGAATGTCCTGGAGTCAGGAAGACCCGAGTTCAAATCTGGACTCAGAAACTACTTAACCTCTGCTTCCCTTAGTTTCATCATCTGTAAAATGGGGTAATAATAGCACCAACTTCTCAGGGTTTTTGTGAGGACCAAAAGAGATAATAATTATAAAGTGCTTAGCACAATGCCTGGCACATAGTAAGTGCTATATAAATGTTAGCTATGAGGACTGAGAAAAGGCCATTGGATCTGGGATCATTGGTAACTTTGAAAAGAGCAATTTCAGTGGGGATAGAAAGATCAAGGGATCATTTTTTGGAGAATGGAGAAGATAAAAACATTTTTGTAGGCAGTAAGGATGCAGCTATTAGGGAGAAATTGAAGATAAAAGACATAGTGAAGATGATGGAGACAGCAATCTCTTGGGGGAGACAGCATGAAATAGGATCACTTGTGCATTTGCAGGGGTTCAACTTGCCAAGGAGAAGGGCTACCTCTTGGTGTGAGACAGGCGCCAAGGCGGAGATGGTAGCAGAAAGCATCTGGGTGATGTGAGATGAAGAGAAAGGGAGAAGACGGAGCTATTAGCAAAGAGCTTCCATTTTTTTTTTTCAGTAAAATATGAGGCAAAGTTCTCACCTGAGAGGTGTCACCTGAGAGGGTCAGGGAGGGGAGCCATGAAAGGTGAAAAGGTTTGGAAGAGCCACTAGAGAAAGTCAGACAGTGAGTTAATTAGGGAAGCATAGAAGGATTGCCCAGCAGCAGTGAGGGCCCAGTTGAGGTTATATACATGAAATTTGTAGTTGACCCAGTCAGAACAATTTCATGATTTTCTCCATGTCTATTTAACAGCATGTGTGTAGGAGTGAAAGCAGTGAATGATGGGAGCCATCTAAGGCTGAGGCTTGGCAGGTCATAATGGGTAATATGATAAGAGGGTTAAAGACTCAAGAGAAGAGGACAGTGTAGAGTTTATTTGGTTTACCAAGGGATCAAGATGGGGAAAAGAGGAGACAGTGGCTAGTGCAAGGCTGATGTCCTGGGAGAGAACTAAGATGCTAGGGGATTGGAGGTCCTGGTATGAACACAGAGCAAGATTTGGTAAGGGAAGGGAGATGAAGAAGTAGAAAGCCAGGGGCAGCTAGGTTGCGCAGTGAATAGAGCTCTGGTCATGGAGTCAGGAGGACCTGAGTTCAAATCCAGCCTCATACATATAACACTTACTAGCTGTGTGACCTTGGGCAAGTCACTTAACCCCGATCTCCTCATCCAAAAAAAAAATTAATTAATTAAAAAAAAAAAGAAGAAGTAGAAAGCCAATAGATTGTGATCTGATAAGAGAACTTTTTCCACCAGAGTGGTGACTATGTGAATGGAGATAAGGGGATGTATATGAGACAGGTAGACACATTGTAAAGGTAGAAACAAGTCAAGACTCAGCATGATATGAGTATGAGTGCAGATGAGGTTTTGAGCCTGAGTAACTGGAAAGATGATGGTGTCCTCCAGCATTATAGGAAATCTGGAAAGAAGTCAAGGTTTGTGGGGAGAACGAAGAGGAAGTTCGTGACAAATGGTCTCTATTTTCTTGTTAAAATAGGATTCAGGGGCAGCTAGGTGGCGCAGTGGATAGAGCACCGGCCCTAGATTCAGGAGGACCTGAGTTCAAATCTGGCCTCAGACACATAACACTTACTAGCTGTGTGACACTGGGCAAATCACTTAACCCCATTGCCTAAGCCCCCCCAAAATAGGATTCAAAGTTTTCAGCTGAAAGGGAGGGGGCAGAGAGTGTTATGAATAGTTTGAGGAGAGAAGAGAATATTAAGAACAGGGTCAGTCAGGGAAAAGTAGAAGGGGCAGCAAGGAGAGCCCAATGGATATTAGACAACAAACTTGTGGTAGACTCAGTCATGCAGTTGTGTGACTTTCCACATCTGTCAAGGGTATGGCCAGCCCCCCACTCACCCAGATTCAAAACCTCGGTGTCATCCTTGATACCTCGCTTCCACTCATATATCCACATGTCCAATCAATTACCAAATTCTTGTTGTTTCTGCCTCCCCTCCACAAAGTCTCTCTCATATGCATGCTTCCTCTTCACTCCTATGACCGGCTTGCTAGTTCAGGCCCTGACCACCTAATGCCTGTGCCATGGCGGTCATCCACCAACTAGTCTCCCTGCCTCAAGTCTACCCCCTCTGGAATCCACCCCTCACCTAGCTGCCCAAGTGATTTTGCTAAAGTTCAAGTTTGGGGCAACTAGGTGGTGCAGTAGATAGAGCACTAGGCCTGTAATCAGGAAGACCTCAACTTCACGAGTTCAAATCCAGCCTCAGATACTTCCTAGTTGTGTGACCGTGGGCAAGTGACTTCACTCTGTTTGCCTTTAAAAAAATAAATGAAGTTCAAGTCTGACCGTGTCACCAGCAACTCAATAAACGCTAGTAGCTTCCTATTACCTACATGATCAAATATAACCTCCTCTGATTAGGCTCTAACCTACTGTTCTAATTTTATTACACATTCTTTATTACGTACTCTGTGGTCCACACTTGCCTTCGTACTGTTCTTCACATCTCACAACACTTCATTTCTTTCCTCTGTGTCTTTGCTCTGGCTCTGCCTCATTCCTGAAATACTCTCCTTCTTCACCTCCATTTCCTCGGATCTCAAGTAAGCCAATCCGGGTTGGAGTTGCTGCTTTGCTATTTATTACCGTTGTGACCTTAGAACATCTAGTCTTTGGAAAGGACTTTGGAGGACTTTGGATTGGTTCAATCCCTCCATTTTACAGATGAGAAACTGAGACCTTGGTCAATCCCTAATCCCCTCCCCTCATCAATTTCCCTATCTGAGAAATGAAGGGGTTGGACTAGGCAGACAGAAGCTATTGTTATTTACTTTCATTCTGAGCTGATCAGGGCCCAGACAGTGACCAAGAAGGGCTTTGTCTGGGACCTGAGTGATTTGGGGTTAAGGCTAGTCTTTAAGAGAAAAAAACAAAACAAAACAAAAGTTTCAGAGATTAAAATTTACATTCCAGAGAAGAAAGAAAGAAAGGAAGGAAGGAAGAAAGAAAGAGAAAGAAAAAGAAAGGAAGGAAGGAAGGAAAGGAAAGGAAAGGAAAGGAAAGGAAAGGAAAGGAAAGGAAA